AATTTTTTTTGTTTTCCCAGCCTTCATCGCCCCGTAAAAATCCCCTACTTTTTGAAGATCAACATCATTTGGTTATTTTTTCCCTAAACCGAAGAAACTGGGGGAAAACAGTCCAATTGAATCAAAACCTAACCTGTTTTTTTCCATAAATTACTCCTTGATATTTTTTCAATGAATTCCCCCTTAAACACAACTTTAAACGTAACTATGCCAAATTCACAACAAAAATTAACTCCTCAACATTAGGCTTGAAAAACAACAAATATAATAAATAAATTTTATTTGGATACATTTAAAAGGGGTTGTTGTTTTTTATTTTTATAAAAAAGTTCAAGATGATTTTACGTTAATTTTTTGGAATTCAGGGATTCATTTCCCTCCAAACTGTGGTCCCCAACTGACAATGATCTGGTTTTGTTGAGAAATTTAACCCACTTGAAATCTGTTCCCAAAAAAAATTCCCCTTAAAATTACTCGTTTCCACATTCCAGTCATGCTTTGCCCAAAATAGAGGGGTACCAAGTAAAATAACTTCCCATGGTTAATTACCACTAAACTGTCCGATCACCGGGGCCTGAAACGGGGTTTTAATAAAAATATGTCAAAAGGAATTTAAAAATTTGCATATTCTTAAGAGTATTAAGTTAAGATGGAAAATTTAAATTTGTTAAAAAAAAAAGCCCGAAATTTTTTTAAAAAAATTTCTACAATTTTTTGTAAAAGGAATTTTAAAATTTTTTAAAAATTTTTTTACGGGCAGATGTACTTTAAAACGCTCCAAAAACTTGACACTTCGCCCCATTTTCCAAAATTTCCCAAATTTCATCCAGATGACAACATTCCACATATAGCTATACTAATCTTCAAAACAGGTTAAATAATTTTTGAAATTTTTCCCCTAAAAGCTTAGTAGAAAAGGGCATCAGGTTGTAAACATTAGATTTTGTAAATTTTTTCCCTTTTGAGAAAAAAAATTTCTTTTGATGTTTTGGAAAGAAACATTTTTGATAAAATTCTAACGTTTTTTTTTATTTCAGCGTTTTTGATTTTCCATAGTGATGCAATTCCATGTTGTAAAGTAAAAGGGTTAATAAAAGTTTGGATTTGTTCCGGGGAGGTAACAATCTTACGCGGGATCTCCCTTATCATACAAATTCTGCCATCACAACATTGAAATACCCAAAATTCTGGCATTTTTATTTTTTTTAGCTTTTTAATTATTTTTCATTTTTTGTGTACTTTTTGATAATTTTTTTTAAAAATATAACCGACGTAGGTACAAAAGTTAAAAATAAACAGAAAGAGAAAAATGACGTTAGCATTTTCTATGTAACGGTCGATATTACATTTGAATTTCGACGTTACGTCATTGTGACTTTCATCATCATGTGACGTTCTGTGAAGGGGCAGTGATTACATCTGCAAGGAGGTAATCAGTGTGAGGAGTTTGGAGGTAAGTTGTGAAAGTTTTATTACAGTCTTGGTGTGTAAATAAGCTTTGATTTTGTTCCAGGGAGGTAAGTTGTGAAAAGTTTTATTACAGTCTGTGTGTAATAAAAGCTTGGATTTGTTCAGGAGGTAAGGTGTGAAAGTTTTATTACAGTAAGTGAATCTGTGTGTAATAAAAGCTTGGATTTGTTCCAGGGAGGAAGTTGTGTAAGTTTTATTACAGTCTTGTGTAATGAAAGCTTGGATTTGTTCCGGGGCAGGTAAGTTGTGAAAAGTATTATGTAATAAAAGCTGGATTGTTCCAGGGAGGTAAGTGGTGACAGTTTTTACAGTCTGTGTGTTAAAGCTTGGATTTTGTTCCAGGAGTAAGTTGTTGAATATTATTACAGTCTGTGTGTAAAAAAGCATGGATTTTGTCCAGGGGGGGTAAGTGGGACATTTTTATTACAGCTTGTTGTATAAAAGCTTTTGGATTTGTCAGGGGAGGTAAGGTGTTGAAGTATTATTACAGTCTTGTGTGTAAGAAAAGCTTGGGATTTGTTCCAGGGAGGTACGTGATGGTGTATTTAAATTTTCGCGGAAGCAAATTTCGCGGAAAGGTCCATTTTGGGGGATATACAAAATTCGCGCTATTTTGAATTCGCGAGGTGACTGCCGAAAATCATAATTCGCCGTACACCCATCAGGTTAAAAAAAATACGGGAAATTAGTCTTAACTGATGACAAGGTTTTCGAAAGCAGCCTTTTTTCATTTTAAAATACTTTTACTGTAACCTTTGTGGATTCACAGTTTTTTAAACCGGGTGCAAAACAATCCCTTTTGTACATACAACAAAGCAAAAATTTTCTAGCGACAAATTAGGGAAACAAAAGAAAATTCCCGTTAACTGCTGATTTACAGTTTAAACAGCACGAATGAACCATAACTTTCACCCCGATTTTTTAAAATTTTTACGGGGAATTGTTTTTTTTTTTTTCCCCATGTTTCATTTTAAAAAATTTAAAAAGTTTGTTTTGTTTTTGTTTTTTAGAAAAACAAAATTAACTTGTCAGATGTCAAGACGTTTATATCAACTATAAAAAAAACTACAATGGTATTTTTCAAACGGGAATAACTTTACAAGAATCCGATAATCATATCAGTCAAAAAATAATACACTAGCAAACGATTTTAACAGACTGAATGTTACATGACATTTTTAACGACGTAAAAAAACCTTTTTAAAGGCCCCCTGATACCCAATTATGGCAGCCCACCTGAAAACTTATAAACATTGTTCTATAGATGCGCGAAAATATGACATAAGAAATAGGGGGAAATTTTCGCGGAAAAAATTCGGGGGATCGAATGCAAAAGGAAGATCCGAAAAGAAGCCCCCGAATATTTTACACATACCCCGTAAGTTATGGCGTTTTTGGTAGTTTGAAAAAAATTATTGCATAGTGGCTAAAAAACTTTTTATGAGCTGTATTCAAAAGCTGCAACCCTAACTTTTCCCAATGGTAAACATTATATGTTAAATATATAATTATATAATGAGATTAACAGGCAGCCAAATTTATTGCTCTTTAATAGTTTTGGGCATGTCTGTTTCTCACAAGTGACAATAATTATATTTAAGATTTTTCAGATATACATCAGCATATTGATATTTTGCAATCATTCGATGCAGCTTTTGTCACAGGTGAGTACAGTTAGGTATTGAATGTTTTAGGTTATCTAAATCCTTATTATTTCTCCCTTAATACTGATATATCTGCTTAAAAGAGCCACGATGTATGGAAATTTATAGTTTTTATTATTTATCCATCTTCAAGAGTTCTCTTTGAATTATTCTTTACCATTTCAATTTCAAACATTTGGTTAGGAAAAAGTGATTACAAAGAATTTAAATGATCAGCGATTAGCCAGGATTCATTTTAAAAAGGACTCCACTGAGGTATTTTTTACATAAAAGGATTGGAAATATTTTTTTCAAGATTTGTGTACCATTTGATATAGGTCTAAATCATTAACTTGTTTGCAATATGGTGATCATTGGCTCACTCTGTTTTTTATAAAAATCGTTTTATATTTCTAAATAAAAAAAAACTAAAATTTTTTAACCCCTTTTTCTACGAATCATAGAAAACAGATTTTTAATTAATTGTTTCTTTTTCTTTTTCATATTTTTAAGTTAAAAGGTCTAGTTGATCTAAATGGATTTTTAGTTTTTGGGGTTTTCGGTTTTTTCCTCAAGATTCCATTAAACTAAATAATGAAATAAAAATAAACGAAGATTAATGGGATATATGACATATAAATTGGGTTTTTTTAATATTTAGGTATTTAAAAAAGACTAAACTTTCTATTGAGCCGGGAAAAAAAATAAATGCCTTTCAACAGGAAAAAATTTAAACCCCCTTTCCCCCCAAATCAAGGGCTTTCCCTTCTTTAAAAAAAGTTAAAACCCTCATTCTTTTGGGGAAAATTCAAAAATGCGACTGAAGTTAGTGACAACAAACCCTTAAAGATACTGGGTTGGGTTTTTTTGTTTTTATGGTAGAATTTTTTCCCCAGTAAGGGGTTAAAAAAGGGGGGCCTCACCAAATTTTTTCACAAATGGGGTATATAAAATTTTATAATTTAGTGATTGTAATAAAATTTTTTAAAGTGGCAATTTGTCCCAATAACTAGGTTTTTAGAGAACTAACTAGATAAATTAAAAACTATGAAAATGTCACACTTATGACATTTTCATTTTTTTTACATCTAGTTATAGTTTTCCTTTTACTTTTTGTAAGTTTATGAAGCTTATAAAACGTTTTGTAATTTTTTTCATCCCTTACAAAAATTTTGTTTTTTAACCTCTTGTTTTAACTATAATTTTTTAAAAATATCTGTAAAAAAAATTATTTTGTGTTCCTTTTGTTATTTTTTAAACACATGATTCTTAAAAAATAGTAACTTTTTAAATATTCTGCTTTTCTCTGTAATTTTTTATAACTACATCATTTTATAACATAAAATTTCTTTTTAAATATTCCCATTCTCTGTAACTTTGATAACAATCATACGGGAACTCCCAACTGCTCGAAATTTTCCTAAACGTTTTAAAATTATACTTTTCACTCTACAACGTTTTTTTTTCCTGTTAAAATTTTATAACGTTTTTGCACATCCATTCTTAACTCGCATAAATTCCTTTAAATTTTTTTTAACTGATAATTTTTTGTAACAACATAACTTTTCATTATATTTTAGACTGGGGTTTATAGATAACTTTTTTTTTACAACACTTCAGTATGGGGGGCATGTCAACCCAAAACAACATTAAAAATTCCTTTTTCCCGGGAATTTTATAATCACTTTTATCTTTTCCTCTTTTGTTTGGAAGTTTTCAACCTAACTTTCTCCTTACCATGTGAGATATTTAAGTACATATCTGTATTACGATCATTTTTCTTAATCTGTTTAACTTGAGATAATTTTGCTGATTTGTTTTTGTTGTAGTCATTATTTCTAGGATCATGTCTGTAGTCCATGTATGACTAGTGTAAATGTTTACTGTTTACAGACAGAATTGATCTCACAGAAAGATGTGGTTGTGGTACAAGAGGTGGTCATGTCACAGGGGGAAGTACTTTCTTGACAGGATCATGAGGGTATGTATACATCAGCTGTGTCACGACAAAATCAACAAAGTGGTTTTGCGACCAGCATGGATCCAGACCAGCCTGCGCATCTGTGCAGTCTGATCAGGATCCGTGCTGTTCGCTATCAGTTTCTCTACTTGTTAAAGGGTTTGTAAGCGAACAGCATGGATCCTGATCAGACTGAGCGGTTGCGCAGGCTGGTTTGGATCCATGCTGGTCGCAAACCCATTATGTTGGTTTTGTCATGGCGCCGCTCATATGTATATTTATCAGGCCACACTCTGTTATTTGAGGGAACAGTACCTGTATCTGTATGCAGGGAAAGTTCACGTTGTTTTCTCTTATAGGCAAGTTTTTGCTGTTCATATATACAAAAGTTTCTGTCTAGTAGCTTTATTGAATATACCGGGTAAGTTAAATTTCAGTGACATTCAGCACAGACATAAACAGTTGAATGAACTATTTTTTTGACAATCTTGTATATATGTTCTGATTGAGCAGGAATTTGCGTGCAAATAAGAGAAAAACAATACTTTTTGGCAGGGGGAAGGGTGCCAAATATAGGAATTAACAAGAGCCATGTCAACATGGCCACCCCCGCCAAATGTGTTTGCTCATTGGAAGAATGTATATGTAGTAGAGCAGAATAATTCAATTTTAAGAGGTCTTTGATGGCTGAAGTGATAACAGATTTGAAACCTATGTGAATACTGATGGCTGAAAATAACAAAGGACATTAACTGAAAAATAATGCAGGGTAGTTTATCATTCTTGTTTGCTGCACCCTCCTCAGTAAAATCTATCCACCTATGAGGTTTCAAGTTGATACCTCAAATACTTTTTGAGATAAGCTCCCAACAAAATAGTATGAAAAAGAACAAAGGACAATAACTCAAAAATTATATAGGGAAGAGTTGTCATTCTTGCGCACAGCATTCCTCCTCAATAAGATCTATCCACTCAATAAGATCTATCCACCTATGACATTTCATGTTGACATCTCATACACTTTTGAGTTATGCTCCACTCAGGTGAAAAATTAAGTATGAAAAATAACGAAGGGCAATACCTAAAAAATTATGAAAGGTAGAGTTATCATTCTTGTGCACTGCACACCTCCTGAGTGAGATTTATGGACCTATGAAGTTTCATGTTGATATCTCAAAGGTTTTTGAGTTATGCTCTGGACAAAAATTAATTTTGAAAAATAACAAAGGGCAATAACTCAAAAATTATGCAAGATAGAGTTATCATTCTTGTGCACTGCACTCCTCCTCGATGAGATCCATCCACCTATAAAGTTTCAAGTTGATACCTCAAACACTTTTTGAGATAAGCTCCTGACAAATTAGTATGAAAAAGAACAAAGGGCAATAACTCAAAAATTGTATATGGAAGAGTTATCATTCTTGCGCACAGCATTCCTCCTCAATAAGATCTATCCACCTATGACATTTCATGTTGACATCTCAAACACTTTTTGAGTTATGCTCCACTCAGGTGAAAAATTAAGTATGAAAAATAACAAAGGGCGATAACTCAAAAATTATGAAAGGTAGAGTTATCATTCTTGTGCACTGCACACCTCCTGAGTGAGATCTATGCACCTATGAAGTTTTATGTTGATATCTCAAACGCTTTTTGAGTTATGCTCTGGACAAAAATTAATTTTGAAAAATAACAAAGGGCAATAACTCAAAAATTATGCAGGGTAGAGTTATCCTTCTTATGCACTGAACTCCTCAATGAGATCCATCCACCTATGAAGTTTCAAGTTGATACCTCAAATACTTTTTGAGATAAGCTCCTGACAAAATAGTATGAAAAAGAACAAAGGGTAATAACTCAAAAATTATAAAGGGAAGAGTTATCATTCTTGCGCACAGCATTCCTCCTCAATAAGATCTATCCACCTATGACATTTCATGTTGACATCTCAAACACTTTTTGAGTTATGCTCCACTCAGGTGAAAAATTAAGTATGAAAAATAACAAAGGGCAATAACTCAAAAATTTTGAAAGGTAGAGTTACCATTCTTGTGCACTGCACACCTCCTGAGTGAGATCTATGAACCTATGAAGTTTCATGTTGATATCTCAAAGGCTTTTTGAGTTACGCTCTGGACAAAAATTAATTTTGAAAAATAACAAAGGGCAATAACTCAAAAATTATGCAGGGTAGTGTTATCCTTCTTGTGCAATGCACTCCTCCTCAATGAGGTCTATCCACGTAGGAAGTTTCAAGTTGATACCTCAAACACTTTTTGAGATATGCTCCGGACAAAAATGTCCGACGGTAGGACTGACGGAGACTATTTCTGTATCCCCGCCGGCTTTCGGCGGGGGATAAAAAGGGAGATCTAGAGCTTTTACAATGCTCCCTAAAGTTTGCCATATTGAATATAAATTCTGGTTTTTCCTCTGTCACACTGACTGTCATTAATAATATCTTAGATATTAAGGGTGCTTATTCTTGACAAAGACCTGTATGATTGTGTCTGGGTTCTTAATTTCATGAATGTTAAAAGTAGATTGCCCTATTTTTCCTACTTTTAAGGCCATATCATATATTTATCAAACACCCTTGAGAAAATTCCATCATGTTAACAATATTCATGATATTACATTTATCATTATTATTAATATCATTAATGTTATTAAAATTGGTGCTGTTATTATTATCCTTAACTGTTAAACCCAAACTGACTGCAGATTTGTGAAGAGATGAAATTGAAAAGAATTTATTTATTTAAAAAAGAAAATAATAATAGTTAAACGGGGGTGTTGCATCATTTTGTAATTTTACAATATTTCTGAAGAAGACTTTATGTCGAAGCTAAGAAAAGCATTTGTTTTTATTTAACTGATTATATTTTATATGAAATCTTTAGAACATATTCATATAAACAAGTTGGATTAGATTGTACTGGTGGTATAAGCTGGCCAGTGTTATCAGGGAAAACAGGGAAATAATATATAAGTTTTATTGCTTTTATTCAATGTTTTAGGCTATAGGAGGTGAATCTCCACGCATGATCATGGAAAGCATTGCTGATGTTTTGTTCTGCCTTTCTAAACACTATCTGGAACAAATTAGAATGTGGTCACAAGATTTTGTCACCAAAGAGGGCTACCCGAGTGTACGATGTACGGGCGATGACAAAGATAGATTTATAAAGGCTGTTCTCAGGTAATTTATAAAGATAGGTATATATCGGTTGTTAACTGAGGCTGGGTATAATATAGGCTATTTTCAGGTAATTATTTATATAGGCTGTTCTCTGGTAATGAATTAAGATTGGTTTATATGGGTTGTTACCTGAGGCTTAGGTTTATATTATTAGTTATAAAGATTGTTGACAGGTTATATGGCCCTATATAAACTACTATTTGTAAATATCACCTGAGCTGGTAGGCGAGGGTTATAATGCAAACAGCCGTTTATATACAGCCATATAACCTGTCAACAATCTTTATAACGAATTTATAATACAGCAAGCATCATTTTTTAGAGAAAAATGTAAGATTTCTTCATGAATCGACAGCAGCCGTGTATATAAACTATATAAACGTCACGATTATCCAATGAAAAGCGACGTTACAAACTTGCAGTATTATAAAAAACTATATAAACATCACAATTATCCAATGAAAAGTAACATTACAAACTTGCAGTATTATAAAGGCTGTTGTCAGGTAACAGAATGTACTCATGTCACTTAATGGTTATAGTTGCTGAAACCATGTCCCCATAATGATGTCGAGTCCGAAGTTTTTCTTTGAAGGAGACCAACCAGCTAGATTACAGAAGATTGGAGCAGAACCAACTGTTAAGGTCTAACTTCATCTCTGTTACCTGTTAGACTCATGCTTCTGCATTGTAAATATACAAACTGGGGTATATGTTGGGTAAATCTTTTTTTCTAAACTTTAAACAGATGCTAAACATTCAAAGTTTGAACCCCGTCACGACAAAACCAACATAATGTGTTTGATCAGAACAGCATGGATCCAGACCAGCTTGCCCATCCGCGCAGTCTGATCAGGATCCATGTTGTTTGCTTACCAACCCTACTACAAGTAGAGAAACTAAAAGCGAACAGCATGGATCCTGATCAGACTGTACGGATGTGCAGACTGGTATGGATCCATGCTGGTCGCAAACGCTCTATGCTGGTTTTGTCATGACGCGGCTCATTTGTTTTTGAAATTTGTTTAATTAAATAGATAAAAACATTTTGGATAAAAAATATTTTCCCTACTTACCAACTCTACCTAAAATGGCATGGGTTGCAGGAGGGGAAACAAAGATGACCTTTGAGTCAGTGTCATCACGATTCAGGAAGTCAGCAAATCTTTTATTTACTGGTTTTTAAATTGCTGAATAGGTAGTAGTACTTTATTCATCTCATTCTTTGAATTATTACACCTGAGTTCGAGGTTATAAAGAAATGTTCTTGGCTCATACTCATATCTCCGGCATTCGATTGGTCTGAAAACAACACAGAATATACACTGACCAATGAAAATCCTGAAATTTGAGACAGAGCTCAGGATAAAGTTTTATAACAGTGAGGCCAGATTTCTTGTCAGCTAAAAATAAACAAAACATAAAAATGATTCTATTCCAGGGAAAGAACTAGTAAGACGAAGGTACGAGCTTTAGTGAAGGAGTTCACGCTACTCTGTCGAGGCTTACTAGGAACAGAGTACGCATCTCAAATGGCAGAACTGATGTGATATTTACCATCTTATGAAGATAGAACATTTATTTATTGACAGATCAAATGCCAGCAAAAAATATAGTATATTTATTTCAGTAGATCTAGATGCCTGTAAGGTTTAGATATAGGATTTGAATGAAATGTTTTCGTAACCGTAGTAACATGATGAATAAAGTAACGACACTGTTTAAAGTATAATATCATGTTAAAAATGTTAAAAAATTGTAAATTTCATATAAAGCATTATGCTTTTGTTATAATAATGTATATTTTTAAACATTTTGAGGTGTTGTTTTGAAATGTCAATGTTAAAACTAGGGCAAAAAGAAACAGACATTTGAATTATTGCATAATTAGCTTTATTATTTCGTGTTGTGTTGTACAATTTATTATGAAAAGTGCTTACATGAGTATTGCTAAATTTAGAGAGAAAAAATGTTAAAATTACCTGAAAAGTGCTAATATTTGTAGAAGTGCTACTAAAAAATGATTATGTTATATAAAAGATTTATGTGCTAAATTTGGCTAAAATGCTAAATTTGATTGTAAAGTGCTAAATGTAATTAATAATTTAGTAGATAATATTTAATGTTAAAATATTTTTGCTATAAGTAACTAGACTTGCTCAGTGTAGCAGAAATGCTAAATTTGATTTAAAAAGTATTAATAGAGAGACTAATATCAAATGATAATGTTGTAAAAATAATGCAAATAGTTTAATAATAATAATAATAACAGTTCTGGTTCAAGCAAGGAATGGACTTTGTATATAAATGAACAAATGCTCCATTGTCAATGGAAACTCAAGCCATTAAAACGAAAATTTTAAGTGCATGCTTAAAATTCAATATAGGGCAATTTCGATCTTGCCAGACACCTCAAGAGTTAGGTGCAAATTGACTGGCCTCAACATTTTGTTCTTGTGAAAGCTTTTCTACAGATTAACATTTAGACCTCTAGTTTTTTTAAATGGACTTTTCCTGCTTTGAATTTGGGACAGTTCATTGTGAGTGTGGGGGATATTGATATCATAATGTTAAATTAGGTAGTCAACAGTAATAGAGTCTGGTCAGACTGCAGTATATTGATGACATTTGTTAGGTATATGCGTTATTATCACTATAATCTATGTTTAAAAGTTTAATGGTATAAGATGAAACATTTGATAGGAATGGGAAATTGTTTCATTGGAATAGTTTGATAATCTCACAGTCATTCACTGTTCATATATTTCATAAAACAAACTTTGTTCATTTAGAAGTTTTTTTTCTTGTGTGTGCATCAACATGATTTTTTAATCCTACACATTCAAGCTAATTCTTGTTTTCCTTCCTTATTGTGTTTTTTGATGACTTTTGCAGAAATTACCCATATTACATTCATTTTATAAAGGGTGTATGAGTTGGTAACTCATATTACATCTTGATCTTTTATAACTATTTTGTTTATTTCCCTTAGAATATGTGAATTTCTAGTATATATAATTTTTTTCAAAATATTGTGTTTGTTTTTTTCATCATAATTTTTATCTGTCATCTTTAGAAATATTTCACCAGATAAAGTACAAAGATCTGCCATGATCACATTGGCAACACGTTATAACAACTAGAATTTAATTGGAATAAATTGATCAGAATCATACTAACAAATGCATGTGTACGAAAAATGGTTGAAACTTGTTTTCGCTTATTTGATCTCATTTAGTTTTTATCATGATCTGTTACTATAGTGATTAATTCAGTTTCCAATGTTGCTTTTTTGTATTTTTGCAAAATTTGCTAAAAAGTTGTAAAATTATCTCCCTTAATTTCAGGTTTCTAGAATTTCTTTGCTAAGTTTATTCATTATTATAATACATAAATTCAACTTCATTCGCATCATTAGCGATGTAAATTCTTGTACCTAAATGAAAAGCTGTAAAAGGATAAATTTTCACGGTTGAAACTTTTAAGAGGTAGATTACAACATTTTTGTGTTAAATGTTTTTTTTTTCTGAAAGATTTTTAAGAACTGAAAGATTAACTGTACATAATGAAAGTTTTTGAAACACATGAAGTACTCAACCACTATTTTCTCACTGATATTGCAGTTGTGTTAAATTTATTTTAAATTAGTTTTCTTGAATATTAAAAATTAATCAAAAGAGGAAACACTGAAGGTTGATTATCATGGCAAAACTGCAAGTATTGCAGACTTGGTTTGATTGAGTCTGTTATGATTGGAAAGATTTTTTTCTACTTTCAAAAATTAAAAAAAGAAAGAAGAAATTGAAAAGTGATGTTGAAATTGCCATTTTGTTTCTGTATATGTATTTTTTTTGGCAGACTAGTATATTGAATTTGGTCATCAGTTTTTAAGCTTTTAAAGCAGGGAATATTCAGGGTGAAATAAATTTACATAAAAGGCTTATCATGAACTGTAGTTTTGCTCAATTTGTTTGTACTAAATGACTTGAGTTATTATATATATGAATTTGCTGATTTTCAAATAATATGCCACTCACTGCTGTTGGTTCAAATCCTGTTCCTGAGGAAGTTATTTAGTAAACTTATGGAATGTGGGTGGGTGCGTCTTCGGCGTCTGCTAGTGCATGTAATAATGACATAATAACATGAGGGCAATGAAGTTTCTTCTTCACAAGTAAAGTGTCCATATGACTTACACAGTGAAAAAACAACAACAAAAAAACAGTCAAAACTTCTCTTATATATCATAGCCCTGACAAGAATAAAAAGCTGTTTTAATGCAGTAATCATTCAGATTTATGCTTACTTTTAATAATGAATTTAAAAAGTGTTTCAAAGTTTTAAAAGTATTGTTAAGTGTAAAAGAAAAGTGCAAAAAATAATGATATTGAACCTACATATGTATGATCAACAGATATTGTTATGCCCCCATTTCGAAGAAAAGGGGGTATATTGCTTTGCACTTGTCGGTCCGTCGGTCCGTCGGTCCGTCGGTCCGTAGACCAAATGGTTTCCGAGTGATAACTAAAGAACCCTTAGGCCTAGGAACTTCAAACTTGGTATGGTGATTGGTCATGACCAGTAGATGACCCCTATTGATTTTGGGGTCAAGGAGTCAAAGGTCAAGGTCACATTGACCTTGAAAGCAAAAACGGTTTCCGATCAATAACTAAAGAACCTTAAGGCCTAGGAACTTCAAACTTGGTATGGTGATTGGTCATGACGAGTAGATGACCCCTATTGATTTTGGGGTCAAGGGGTCAAAGGTCAAGGTCACATTGACCTTGAAAGCAAAAACGGTTTCCGATCAATAACTAAAGAACCTTAAGGCCTAGGAACTTCAAACTTGGTATGGTGATTGGTCATGATCAGTAGATGACCCCTATTGATTTTAGGGTCAAGGGGTCAAAGGTCAAGGTCACATTGACCTTGTAGGTAAAAACGGTTTCCGATCAATAACTAAAGAACCTTAAGGCCTAGGAACTTCAAACTTGGTATGGTGATTAGTCATGATCAGTAAATGACCCCTATTGATTTTGGGGTCAAGGGGTCAAAGGTCAAGGTCACATTGACCTTGTAGGTAAAAACGGTTTCTGATCAATAACAAAAGAACCCTTTAGGCCTAGAACTTCAAACTTGGTATGGTGATTGGTCATGATCAGTAGATGACCCCTATTGATTTTGGGGTCAAGGGGTCAAAGGTCAAGGTCACATTGACCTTGTAAGTAAAAACGGTTTCTGATCAATAACAAAAGAACCCTTAGGCCTAGGAACTTCAAACTTGGTATGGTGATTGGTTATGACCAATCAGATGACCCCTATTGATTTTGGCGTTAAGGGGTCAAAGGTCAAGGTCACATTGACCTTGTAGGTAAAAACGGTTTCCGATCAATAATGAAAGAACCCTTAGGCCTAGGGACTTCAAACTTGAGATGGTGATTGGTCATGATCAGTAGATGACCCCTATTGATTTGGGGTCAAGGGGTCAAAGGTCAAGGTCACATTGACCTCTTAGGTAAAAACGGTTTCCGATCAATAACTAAAGAACCCTCTGGGCCTAGGAACTTCAAACTTGGTATGGTGATTGGTCATGACCAGCAGATGACCCCTATTGATTTTGGGGGTTAAGGGGTTAAAGGGCAAGGTCACATTGACCTTGTAGGTAAAAATGCTTTCCGATCAATAACTTAAGAACCCTTATACCTAGGAACTTCAAACTTGGTATGGTGATTGGTCATGACCAGCAGATGACCCCTATTGAGTTTTAGGTGAAGGGGTCAAGGTCAAGGTCACATTGACCTTGTAAGTAAAAAACGGTTTATGATCAATATCTCAAGAACGCTTAGGCCTAGGAACTTCAAACTTGGTATGGTGATTGTCATGACCAGCAGATTACTCCTATTGATTTTGGGATCAAGGGTCAAAGGTCAAGGTCACAATGACCTTGTAAGTAAAAACGGTTTCTGATCAATAACTAAAGAACGCTTCGGCCCTAGGAACTTCAAACTTGGCATGGTGATGGTCATGACCAGCAGATGACCCCTATTGATTTTGGGGTCAAAGGTCAAGGTCACATTGACCTTGTATGTTTTAAAACGGTTTCCGATCAATAATAAGAGAACCCTTAGGCCTAGGAACTTCAAACTTGCATGGTGATTGGGTCATGACCAGCAGATGACCCCTATTGATTTTGGGGTCAAAGGGTCAAAGGTCAAGGTCACATTGACCTTGTAGGTAAAAACGGTTTCTGATCAATTTACTAAAAACGCCTAGGCCTAGGAACTTCAAACTTTGTATGATGATTGGTCGTGACCAGCAGATGACCCCTATTGAGTTTGGGTCAAGGGTCAAAGGTCAAGGTCATGACCAGTAGATACTTTATAACCCTTATTAATTGTTTGACCACTGGGTCAGAAGTCATGCATAATAACCTTATCACATGACTAATTGGCTGCTGATAGGGGGCATACATGTTTTACAAACATATCTTGTTTATAATATGCCCTGATAACCACAAAAAAAGCTATTATTCTATTATTTACTCAGTGTCATTATATTGACTAAGCACATATTTTGCATGCTTAAAATTTTATGTATTGCATTGGATTCAAATGAAATATGTATACATTTTTGAAAACTCTCAATATATTTGATTTTTTTTTGTAAATTTGTTTACTTCTGTGAAGGTTTGCTGCTTTCATCTGTTTTTCCCCTCAATAATTTTATGAGGAGCAGTTTTTCTGACACAATCGTTTAAATTGATGATTTGATTGGATGAGCTCACATTTGTTTATAGTAACTTTGTTATAAATTTGTATAAAAAGGTTGACAATCAAAATGTATGATTGTTTTTTTTCATTTACAGTTCTTTTTCGCATTATCTGGGGCATAATGTTACAGGACAAGCAACTGGAGATTCTAGCTGCATAATCTTTTACCCCCAATCGTTAGTATGTGCCATCATTTTGTCATGTTGATCATTATTGAAAGGAATTACATTCTGTTTTAACATTTCATTTGTTAGCAAAAGATATGCGAGAGACTTCTTACTACAAAGTGTCCAGTCTATCTATGACAATAGAATATGAAAACAACCAAGGGCTGTCAGTGGCCGAGTGGTAAAGTTTGTTGACTTCAAACAACTTGTCTCTGATGGCTGTAGGTTCGAGCCACGCCAGCTTTTAAATTCTTCATGTGAGAAAGCTCCAGCTAGCTTACAGAATGCTGGTGGTTCTACTCAGATATCCATTTGTGGCTGAAAAAATGAACAGGGAGGCACCTGATGTCTTCCTCCATCATTAAAGCTTGAAAGTCACCATACAACCTATACTGTGTTGGTGTGACGTAAAACCCAACCTCTTAGAAAAATAAGAAAAAAAAATAATGGAATTTATAAAAAAAAAAAAATTATATGATTTTTTGTCAGTAATAGCTTTGCATCCATTCAGTCAAAAATAAAACAAACTCACAGTATGGTGTAGAGTATGATTTTCAGGAATTAAAATGGCTTTTATAAGGCTAAATGATGATATAAATGTAAATATTGTTTGATAGTGAATGACTGCATAGGGTATGAGTGACTAGGATATTACCTGAACTTGTATTTTTATCAAAAATGTAAGCAATATCACACTAGTGTACTATTCTGATTGATTATATTGTTACATGTTGATTTTGTTGTAAATTTGTATATCCATGAGCTCCCAATCTTGTTTTTTGTCTATATACCCCGGTTATT